GTGTACATTTTTCGCCCTCACCATTCTCAATAGATGTCTCATTTTAATCTACTATAACTGTCTCTTCAATACTCCGTCTGATAACCAGCCTATTCCCATTCATAGATTATGGTCAAATGGAACTTACTAGAGGCGTATTCTCTGTGTAGATACTGCAAATATGTTTTGGGCTTCCACTGTCATCCATAGCCTACCGCAAACCAGAATTTCACAATTTAAGCTCGGATACCATTATCTCCTTCGGATTTGGATTATATTGTCTATAATCCTTGGATTACACAGACTGGTGTGCTTCTTCCATGAGGGCTTAGTGACATCTCACTTAGATGGCTGTTTGTTTGAAAACGAGCCTTTAAGAGCCCAGGCACTATTCTTTGATAGCTGGGCACCATCTACTTTCTTCATCACACTTTGCTGTAGCACCCTGTATCTGCCATGTTCTCTTCTTGAGGGAGTACACTGCCAGCTTGGAAAAATGTACAAGTTCTATTTGACAGAAAAGCTCCCAAATTCTTTTCTCCCTCTGGCCAGGGCATTTCGAATAAAACCACAAAGTCCCGTGCATTCTTTGATTTACAAGGACCCGTCAGGATGGGCCAGTCAAGCAGTGCTTCCCCAGGTCTTGCTGCCAACCTGCTCCACATGCATGCCATTGGTAGCAGACACACCTTTGGACATAAGAGCCCTTAGAGAGCGTGCGTATGTGCTCGCTGGCACCACAGTGGCTCCATCACTTCCAGTCTCCTTATCCTCCTGGCAACCACAGGCAAGCGAGGCTGGCATCCCAGATGTGAGGGCAGCTTTTAGGAAAGATCAATCCATCAGTAGGCACCAGGGTTGGTAGTCAGCAAGGAGAAGGACCCTCAATAAGATGCTGGACGGACACAGCGAGCACAATGGCCTCAAGCATCCCCACCCTCATCCAGGCGGCAGTTCGGTTCTGGTAGGCGCACCTTCACGTGTGGGCATCAACTCTCCTGCAACCCACAACACTATTTCTACCACCCACCTGGTCGTGTGTTGTTCTGTGGCGACTTGTATGTTGCTACGATCGCAGAAGCGATGCCACCAATATTTCAACCCCCAGCCAGCTTTATCTCATTGGGCATACTCCGGCAGTGCTTCCAGACTAAGCAAGACTAGGCAGACACTTCCGAAAACTAGTCAATGTAGTTCTGCAGATCACAACAGAAGACTGGCCCATCCCGTGCTGGAATATGCGCCTCTGGGGTTAAAAGGTATTCAAGATACACAATGGCCAAGCCAGGGTCCTAGGCACACCAACAAGCCTAGTGCCACTCCAGGCAGCATGGCATTCTGTGGAACATGGAGTCACAACTCAGCAGCAGCCACCTTGCTTTGTTAACGGCTGTCTGCCCGGGCCTGGATGCGCTGGGTCCCTACCTTGTGGGGAATGAGCTGTGCTTGTCAACAGAGCGGCAGACAACAAGGCTTACCTTGTATCCCAGGCGCTGCCTCCACGCACCATGCGCTGGCTGTCAGGTGGGCCCCTGTGACTGGTTCTACGTAAGGGTCCATGAGCACAATGGACCATGTCACATCTCGGCTGAGGCACCTGGTGCTGGTCCACACCAGGCATCTGTCTGCCCGAGCCCTGAGGCACACGCCCATGTGACCCAGGATGGGCCAGTCAAGTGACAAGTCCGCATGCAATGAGCCTTCTATTAAGCTCCTGAGATGGGGCGGGGGAGGGGGGCTATTGCGATTAGGTGCCAGCAAAGACTCCAGCCCATAGCCACCCTGTGTATGCAACAGACTGAAACACTGCCCGGTCCTCAGCCGCTGGCTCAGTCCCATTGAGAGGCGTCCTCTTCTCCGCTATCAAGCATGATGTCCTTCTCCACGTACTGCTCTCTCCTGATAGCGTGGCCCCAAGAATGTGAGATGCAATCTTGCCAGCCTTGCTTCTAAGGAGCATTCTGGTTGCGCCGCCTCCAAGACAGAGCTGTGTGTTCTTCGGCCCATCGGGTACCTTGACTGTTAGTGGGCAACACTCGACTCCAAAGGCATCGACCGAGTCTCTGCTTTGGTCCTTGTCCAGCTCCGGCATGCACCTGGGGCAATCACAAATGCCCTGGCTTGGGTCAGACGCATCGCAGTCCTCAAAGTGACATCTCTGAAGGCCGTTACTGCGGCACAACTACCCTCGTCCTGAGGAACCCCGTGGAGAGATCAAGGGGATCAGGATGCTCACAGCCCGCACTAGCTCTAGCAGGGCTGAGGAAGGAGACCACACCCCCAGTCTGACCCCGCCAAGGGGAGACGCTAGAAACAGCACGTGCCTCCATGGGGCTAGTTCCTTGTTGATTCCGCATTGGTCTTTCCAAAACGGCATTTCCTCTCAGGGCTGTTAGGAGGAGCTGTTGAATTTGTCCTGACTCTTAGCGAGCCTGTGTGTACAACACAAGGAAACAGCCTGGTCTGCACCAGCCTCACGGCTGTTCACGTGATGTGTGAGCCACTGCTGCAGCCACGGCGCCAGTCCATCTCGCGGAAGGCCCGCCCCTTCTTGCTGCCCCTCTACCAAGCACGACGTCCTACTCCAGGGGCCGGCCTCTCCTATAATGACAAAGCACTCCGGGCGCGTTTCTACCACGGCAGATTGGCTGCTAGGCAGTTCATGGTACTGTCACTGCTGTCCGCCAGCCTCCTGGCAGGGTACTTCTTTCCCATCGAGGTCTGGGCTCTCCCCAGATCTTGCCGCAGTCATGGCCTGTCTGCCCCTGGTGAGGCTCTGGGTCACTCATGGGATCTAGGAGAGGGCAGTGGAGGGGCGGCCTGGCCCAGGAGCCTAAGATGGAACTCCTCACCAGTGGAGTCAAGAAAAAGAGCCATCTCTCCCTGGCTCGCTGCCCAGGTTTCTGGCCAATTCCCAGGAGTCGGCCTGCAGCCCCCTCTCCTTGAGGTGGCTTTTAAACTAGCCTTGGTCCTAGCTTGTCTTGCGGACCCCATTTTTGCCCATGTCCACCTTGGTCAGAAGGCTAGCTTTTCCAGAACTGAGCGCTGGGCAGAGACATGCTCAAGGTGCGGGTCCACTTGGCACACCCAGGTGGTCCGAATGGCTGTCCAGGGGTTAGGGATTGACTTTTGTCCCCCGAGAAAAGGTTGCTATTCCCAACCCGTGTGTACTTGTGGGAGAAAGATGCGGTTTTCTGCCCCCGGCCGCAGCTCCACTCCGAGACCCCACAGGGGCAGTTCTACGCTGTCCTACAGGGTCACTGAGTCAGAGTGGACTTGATGGCAGAGTCTGACTGGGTGTATGTACTTGTGAAATTTGGAAATCACGTCTGTTATGCTAATGAGGCCGCATCAAGTGTCGTAAGCTGAGCCGCTTTGTAAGCCCAAACTGATGAAGGTAGAGAGGAGGAAGTGGAGATGGGGTTCACACTCCCTGCCAGCCAGGCCACGCTGACTCAGAGCACCCTGGAGGGGAGGGCAGAAAGGCCCCTGTGGGTTTCAGAGGCTGTAAATCTTTACCGGAGCAGCCAGCCTGCTCTTTCTCCCGTGGAGCACCTGGTGAGTTCAAACTGGCGACCTTGGCCCTAGCAGACCAGTGCATAACCCACTGCACCACAAGGGCCCCTTAGAGACGGGGGGCAGCCAGATTCAAAGGAACAGAAGCTGAAGGGAGACAGGAACCTTCGCCCAGAGCAGAGAAAGCTGGCCTTCCCCTGAATGGGGGCTTCTATCCCCCAAACTGTGAGAAAATAAATTCCTGTTTGTAAAAGCCACCCCCTCATGCTTTCTGTTATAAGCAGCACCAGATCCCTTAGGTGCCAGGTTAGGGGAGGGCATGGGGCCAATAGCAGGGCAAGAGAGGGAAGGCGGGGCTACCAAGAGCCTAAGCTTTATTTACAAACAGGTAACAGAACTCCTCAGATACCCGCAGAGCCCGCTCCGGTGTGCCCCCAGGAGCAGCCAGGCCTGCGTCTGCCCACCCTGTTCAGCAAAGGCGTCCAAGTCCATCTCCAGCCAAGACTGGGCAGGGCTTCCACTCATGGGCTTCTCAGGCCCGAGGGGAGAGACGGGGATGTCGGTCGGTTGGTCGGTCCTCAGGGCTTCTGCCGAGGGGTGTGGGGCCCGGTGCCCTGGGGCTCTAACCAGGTTGGGGCGGGTGGCGGAGCCCGAGTTGGCAGGGCCTGGACGGTGAATGGGGAGGTAAGCGTCAGCGGTTGCCCCAGTTCTAGGCTTCCCCCCCAGCCCTCCTGGATCGGAGTCAGGGTAAGCTCCTTCCTGGGGTGGGGAGGGCACACGGGACAGCCAACAGGGGTCAGTGGACGCTCCTGGGTGAGTGGCAGGAGGAAGGAGGCCCGGCACAGAAAGGCTGCCCCATCTCCATCCTGCTCCCACGGGGCTCTGTGGTCCCCAGGCCTGCTGCCCAGGGCATGAAGACCCATATCAGATGGGTCTCTGCACCACCACACCCAACCCCCAAGGCACCCGGGCCAGAGCCAGGGCCTGGAACATACCAGATGGGCAGGGCTGCTGGCAGACGGCTTCCGGTGCTGGGCCTCAGAGGAGACGCAGGACCAGAGGTCTAGGTTCCTAGGCAACGAGCTTTTCTCGGGCCTGGGAGGGATGATGTCCCAGCCCAGCAGGCAGTGCTAAGCAGAACAAGGGGTAAACACAGCTGGAGCTGCTGCCCCTAAGACAAGGCAGCATGGCACCCCCTCCATCAGTGTGGAGGGACCCCCTGAACAGAAGCAGCCTTCTCCTCACAGCCTCAGCTCTCCCCATGTGCACCCACTAGGTGACCCCAAACCCTGCTTTCCCCAGCCCTCCAGCCCCCACCCCCAAGTGCTCCCAGACCCAGTGAGAAGGGAGGACACTGACTAGACTGGACATGTCCTCCCCGCCGGCCTGAGAGCCCAACACCTGCAGGTGCCCTGAACTGCCCACCTCAACCAGCATCCCATGAGGCCGGACAGCAACCCAACGGTCCTCTGTACCCCTCCTTCTCCAGCCCAGCTCCCATCCCCCAGTCGGTGCTGAGTGGCCGCTGACCCTCCTCTTGTCCCGGGACATAGAAAAGGCCATCCACGGGAGTGCCAGGGAGTAGGACCCAGGTTCAAATCCCAACGCCCGCTACCTGGCTGACCTTGGGGGAGCCCCTTCCCCGCTTTCCCTCTGCGTCCACATCTGAAAAGTGGGGATGGTAACAGAGACACCTGGCCTCCGTTGGCTGGGGCTCACGAAGTCCTCTGAGGGCAGTGCATGGGACACGGCTCAATAAACTGGCACGTTCTCATGATGCCAGCATGGGGGCAGACACTCATCCTGGGGGGCCCACAGGCATGTATGGGCGCCTACCCACCCAGCCTGGGACTCCAAAGACTTGGGTTCCTTCCCTGCCCCAGTCCAGTCCCCTGTGTGGCATGGAGACAGACCCTGACCCTCCCTGGGCCTCAGGATGGGGCCTGGGCCGGTGGGGACAGCCCCCGCCCTGCGCTGCTCACCCGGGGCAGGGCCAGCGTGTCCGAGGCATCGAAGCTCTTGCGCCGGTGGATGTGGTAGCTGTGGGGGGGCTCCAGGACGGAGAGCGGGAGGCTCACTCTGGCAGGGGAAGGGCAGCGGACATGAACAGGGACCCCCATCACCCCCACCCCCACCCCGCCCATGGCTGGCCCCCAGAGGTCTGCTGGCCCTGGTCACTCACCTGACCCGAGCTGGGTCCGCCAAGGTCTCCAGGTCCCGCTGGTTCCGTGGTGTCCTGCAGAGGCGGCAGGGGGTGCCGGGATCCGCAGGGACCAAAAACAGGCGCCGGTTGATGCGATAACTGTAGACACCTGAGGCCCATTTGAAGCCACAGCCTGACCAAGGGCCTCAGTCCACCCCAGACACACACACACACACCCGCGCGCATAGAAATACTGAACATGCATACCCACACCAAGCATACCTGAGCATCTTTCATGTCCCAGTGTCATGTGGACAAAGCATGTTCGTAGTCACATTCATGGATATACATGCTCCTACCTGGACACACGTAGTCAGGCACATATACACACCCCTCACGCGTGCATGTGCACACTCACATTCATGATCCTCGACCATGTGGCTGCTGTCCCGGAGGCTGAGGAGCTGGGGTCTGTGAGGGGGAGAGGAGTGAGCAAGCCAGGCCAAGGTGCCCCTGGGCTGCACCCCCCACCCCCACCCCAACCCCAGAGCCTCACTCCGGTTCACTGGAGATGCACTCCTCCTTGTTGGCTTCCCGGAACTCCTGCAGCTTAGAGAAGAAGGTATCCGACTTATCGGTGACAAGAGAAGCACTGTCCAGAGTCCCTGGTGGGGCAGAGCCACTGGTCAGTCGGATGAATTGCAAGTGCAAAGGCACTGAGGCAGGCCAGGCCTGGCATGGTTGAGAGGCAACCAGGAGGTGGAAGTGGCTGGCAGGGAGCGAGGGGAGAGGGCCCCTGAGTGAGGGGTGAGGCAATCAGATCAGTGAGGTATTTTTTACAGATTCCTATTGTAGCTGCTGTACTAGGGAAGGGGGGGGGGGCAAGCAGGCCACGGGGGTGGGGTAGATTAGGAGGCTGCTGCACTCATCCTTGTGGAGAGAGGCAGCTGGTTCTAGAAGTAGTGCAAAGACAGGACCAATCGGATTTGCTAACAGACTGGAGGAGGACTGTGGAGAATCAAGGTCAAACACAAGGTTATGGCCTGACCTATCAGGCAGAGAGGGGCAGCCCTGGTGTAGTGGGTTATGAGTCAAACTACTAACATGAAGCTCAGTAGTTCAAAATCACCAGCAGCTCCTTGGGGGGGAAATGAATCTTTTTCTTCCTGTAAAGAGTTACAGTCTCACTGAAGACAAATGGGTGCATAAGCAAATGTGGTGACGAAAGCTGATGGTGCCCGGCTATCAAAAGATATAGCGTCTGGGGTCTTAAAAGCTTGAAGGTAATCAAGAGACCATCAAACTCAGAAGCAACAAAGCCCACATGGAAGAAGCACACCAGCCTATGCAACCACGAGGTGTCGAAGGGATCAGGTATAAGGCATCATCAGAACAAAAAATCTTACCATAGTGAATGATGGGGGGAGTACGGAATGGAGACCCAAAGCCCATTAGTAGGCCACTGGAGATCCCCTTGCAGAGGGGTCCCGGGGAGGAGATGAGTCAGTCAGGGTGCGATGTAGCAACAATGAGAAATACAACTTTCCTCTAGTTCCTAAATGTTTCCTCCCTGCTCCCACTACCATGACTCGAATTCGACCTTGCAAGTCTGGCTAGACCAGAGGAGGTACACTGGTACAGATAGGAACTGAAAATACAGGGATTCCAGGGCAGATGAGCCCTATAGGACCAGTGGTGTGAGTGGCAAAACAGGGAGGGTAAAGGGAGAATGGGTAGGAAAGAGGGAACCGATTACAGGAAACTGTGTGTGACCTCCTCCCTGGGGGACAGACAACCGAAAAGTGGGTGAAGGGAGACGTCGGACAGGGCAAGATATGACAAAATACCAATTTATAAACTATCAAGGGCTCATGAGGGAGGGGGCAGCGGGGAGGGAGGGGAAAAATGAGGACCTCGTGTTGGGGGTTTAAGTGGAGAGAAAATGTTTTGAGAATGATGTACAAATGCGCTTTACACAATTGATGTGTGTATGGATTGCGATAACAGTTGTATGAGCCCCTAATAAAATGTTTAAAAAAAAAAAAGAGTTACAGTCTCAGAAACCCACAGGGGGCAGGCAGTTCCACCCTGCCCCATAGGGCCACTGTCAGTCAGAATCCACTCGGCGCTGGTGAGCTACACCAGCACAGAGTTGCCATTCAGAGAGACAGCAAAGGATGAGGGAGGAGCTGGTATGATGGAAATCAGGACCTTGACTTTGACCGTCAGAGTAATATTAGCCACCCAGTCTATCAACGGATGGATGAATGAGCAATATCGCCGTCCACGCGATGCAGCACTGCGCAGGCCTGAAGAGAGACGCACAGGAACTGGAGAGCAGGCTGCGCTCAAGGTCAGACAGACACAGGAGGGCAAACCAAGGAGGCTTCAAAACATTGCAGAAAAAGGCTTATTTCTGCTCCTTCCATTTTCCCAGAAACTTTTTGAAGCCCCCTCATCTTGCGTGGTCCCAATTATATAATACATCCAGAATAAGCAAAGGCAACCAAGTTTATTGGGGCTCCCAGGGCCTCGAGTAGGAAAGAAGGAATTGAACATTATTGTTCCCGGGGCCCTAAGTTTCTACTTAGTGACGATGCATTTCTGGGTGTTGACAAATTTAGGAAATAAAACAGTAGTGGCGGGTGCTTAGCAAGGTAAATGTAATTAATATCATTGAATTGTACACTTAAAAGTAGCAGAATGGTGATTTTTTTGGAGCTGCTGACCATAAGGCCAGGAGTTCGAAAACACCTGTCACTGAGGGCGGAGGACAGGGCTTTCTACTCCTATAAAGTGACAGTCTGGGAAACTCCCGGGCAGTTCCACCTGTCCTAACAGTCACTGTGAGCGCACAGCAGCATGATGACATGAGTTTGTGTAGCTTTGGTTGGTTTCTACTTCATGTAAATGAAAATCTCAATTTTAATATACGTGTACCAAAAAAAAAAAAAAGGCACTGTGAGTGGCGATACCGGGAGGGTGGAAAGGGGGAACTGATTACAAGGATCTACATATACCCCCGCCCTGGGTGACGG